CTCAACGTGGGAACTGAGTGTAACTGAAAACCAATGTCAGAGTGTGTGTGTACCCCTTGGAATCACAGGGATCCTTTTTGGATTGTTTCGTTGACGGTTTTAATGCAGGGGGACCATCCATGTACTGTGCGCGATGGTCCAACGAAGCGGCCGCAGTACATGCGGATATCACGGCTGATCACCGTGACGTACCTGCTTTGAGATAAACCTACGTAAGTGCCAAGCTGTCTCATTCTTTGTTGTGCAGTAAGCGTCCAATGCAGCGGCAAGTACCTCGGATTTTCATGAGCTTGAGACCTGAACTTGTTTCGAGAGCTTTGGAGGCCTTTGCAGGTTTGAGGATGGTTCGTTTTACACATACCCCCCTGGTTGCTTAGGTTTTCACTTAGGCTGGCGTGTCGTGTGGCAAACCACAACCAAATCAGTATGCATTTCTATAAGTGTGTCTGGCTTCATGCCAGCCCAGGGTGACCCCGCAGAGCGGGGGTTTGTCGAACGTATCCCCTGCCCGGATACGGAGCAGCTTGCAGCGAGCGTAGGAGGCTTCTGCCAAAGATATTTGCCAAGACTTGACGAATGATTGAATTCCAAGCTGGCTCTATGCCATTATGTGACCGCAGTTGTCCAAGCTAGCTTAACGCCGCCACGTGGTCAGAGCGACCGTAGTACTTTTAGGTTCCTTGGAACCTGTCGCACTCTTAGGTGCGCACACACAGCATATACACTTAAAACGAGGCGAGGTATGCCTAGGTCCCCTAATGAGGTTTGGTCTCATTGTTTCCTGTCTCCTTCATTTGGTTTCCCTTTCATTTTCCCCTTGACACACCGTCTTTTCCTCTTTCGTTTCGCGTCTTCCTTTCTTCGTGTCTGGTCATCTCATCTCTTTTCTTCTTTTGCGCACACATGGCCCGGCACTTAGCATGTACGTGTGCGCAACCTACTTTCAACCTAGGTTTCAGGTCGCCCAGGTCTTTACAATTAGGCGGGTTTTCATCGGTTGTCCCTGTGCACTTGGTTCCCTTTCATCGCAACCACGCACACCTTTGCCCCGTCTTGTCCTCTTTTCATGTCTTCTTTCGTTTGTCTTGCTGCGCGCACACTTCCGCATTCGTCTGGGCCTTAGAGTTTTTCGCCTCCACTCGGGGGGGGCGGGTGTGTGTGTGTGTGGTGTGTGTGTACCCCTTGGAATCACAGGCGTCCTGATCCCGAGAGCGTCTGCGAAGGGTTTTTCGTAAAAATGCATCTGTAGAACTACGTCTCATCTACATCTTCACAGCTTCACATCTGCACATCTACATCACATCTACATCTCTGCTCATCTTCACATCTTCACATCTGCGCATCTTCAGATCTGTACATCGACGTCGGCGCATCTTCACATCTGCGCATCTACATCTTCACATCTGCGCATCTCACATCTGCGTATCCTGTCGCTCTTCTTTTCTTTCTCTCTTAAGGCCGGGGGCGGTGCCGCCGGAGCACCACGAAACGCAACCCTCTCCGAAGATCGTGCGTGTCGAGGGCGCGAAAAGCAGGTGAGATGGCGTTTTGGATTTGGCGCGCGCAACCCTCTGCGGAGATCGCGCGCGTCGAGGGCGCGAAATGCAGGTGAGATTGCGTTTTTGATTTGTCCGGCGCAACCCTCTGCGGAGATCGTGCGTGTCGAAGGCGCGAAA